TTGTGGATGGGTTAAAGGGAAAAAAAAAAAGAAGCTGGAGGGCCCGGCTTTTTAAATGAAACAAAACTGAAAGGGGGGGGGGAGGGTTTTAGGGGAGGGGAATTTAAAAGGGATTAGGAGGGGGTTTTAAAAAGAGTTAGAAACCCAAAAAAGGAGTTGCAATAAAAGTTTGGGAAAGGGTAAGATATGGCAGGAAAAAAAGGGGACTATTTAAAAGCAAAAATTCAAGGGTTAAAGTGGAGTAAAAAAAAGGGTTTGGGTGTGGGAAAAAAGGGTTATAGTAAGTGTATATGCACCTGGGAAAGAAAAGAAGTGTTGAGGGGAGAGAAAGATTTTTTGGGGGAAATGTTGAGGGAATGTTTTGGGGGGTTTTGGGGCCAAAGGGGTTGAGAGTACTTGTGGTTGGGGATTTTAATGCTAAAAATGGGTAAAAAAATTTTTGTGGAGGGGTTTGTAGGTAAATTTGGGGGGGGCCAAGGGTAAAAATAAATGGGGAGCCTTTTAAGCCGGGTATGTTTAGAAAGAGATTTGGTAAAAGTAATACATATTTTATAAAAAGGGATAAATAAAAATACAAAGTTGTTTAAACATATAATGAAAGTAGTTTGTTAGACTATGGGTTGGTGGATAAAAGGTTGATGGGTAAGCTCCCGGAATTTTACAGGGTTTTAAGGGGGCAACTGATATATTCGGATCATTAAATTTAAATTGTAGCTACAGTTAGATTAAGAATAGATGGGACAAGAGGGGAAAGGGGGCCCAAAAAAAGTAGGGGGAAGTGAAAGGGGTTTTAAACTAAGGGGGGAGGGAAATTGGGTGGAAAAATAAGGACTATTGGCAGAAAGGGGGGCAGGGTTAAAAAAAGAGTAGTGGGGGGGTTGAAGAGGGTTGGGGTGAGTTTTAAAAATGCAAATATTAGAATGTGGGACAGAAATTTTTTGGTTATAGGGGGGTGGGGGCAGGAGGGGAAAGAGGGGGTGATTGGTGGGAAAGTGAAGGGAAAGGGAGTGATAAAAGAAGGGAAAAAATTAGCTTTTTGAAAAGGTTTTCCCCAAAGGGAGAAGTGGTTAAAAAAAGGCAGAGTTATGGAGAGTAAAAGAAAGGGTTTAAGAGAGGGGGGAAAAGGGGTGCCCAAAAAGGGGAGAAAATGATAGAGGGGGGGAGGCACTGTTAAGAAAAATTTTTTTGAAAATAAGAAAAAAAATTTTTGGAAAGAGTTTTAAAAAAGTTAAGAAAGCCTAGGGAAAAAAATGGATTTGTTTAGTTAAAAAACGAGTAGGGGAGGTTAGCAGATGGGGGAGGGGGGGAGGTTTTTAGGGGAGATGGCGAGAAATTTATGGAGGAACTTTTAAAAGTTAAGGAAAAAAGGGAGGCAGGTTTTAATTTATGCCCCTGGCCAGGGGGGGTATCCCAAACCCTTTTTGGAGTGAAGAAAAGTGGTATTTTGGGGGGGGTATGTGGGCATTAAGTTTGGAAAAGAAAGGGGGTTAAACAGCCCGGAATTTATGGGATTTATTTACAGAAATATTAAAAGAAGGGGGGGGTATAGTGTTTGGGGTGGGCGGTTCTTTTGTTTTTTAAAAAATTTTTTTGAAAGAGGGGGAAGGTACCTAGGGATTGGAGAGAGAAGGGATTGGGCCCCTTTTCATAAAGGGAAAGGGGGAAAAAAAAGGGTTTTAAAAATTATTTGAGGAATAAATTTACTGGTATACCAGGAGAAGTTTAAAGGTTTTGGGTCATAATTGAAAGAATTAAAAGGGAAGACAGAAAGTAGGATTGCAGATGGCAAGGAGGGTTTTTGTGGGGGGATGTGTGATAAAAATATTTACATTGAAGCATTTTATGGGGAAAGGGATTTGGTAAAGGTTTTTGGAAAATTTTTTTTGCATTTATGGATTTTGAAAAGGATATTTATAGAGTGGATAGGGAAGCAATGTGGGGGATGTTGCAAGTATATGGGGAAAAGGGGGGGGGAAGTTACTTTAAAAGCTGTAAAGAGTTTTTTTTGAGGATAAATGAGGCTCAGGGGTTTTTGGGGTGTTTGAAGAAGGGAGACTACTTCCCCGGTTTTAAAAAAAGGTTTTTAAAACTTGGGTATGTGTAAAGTCACCCTGGTTTTTAAACCCCCCTTTTAGGGTCCCCAAAGGCCCCCCAAAATTTGGGGTTTACGCACCAGTGCCCCGAATTTAAAAAAAAAAATTTTTTAAATTTTTTTTTTGAAAAATAGAGGGTTTTTTGTGAAGGTAATTAAAAAAAAAAAGTACGAAATTTGGTGGAAAAAATTTAGAAATTATGCTCTCCCCGAAAATTTTTATGTGGGCAGCGATTTTACGAATCGGTGATTTTGCCGACCCTTTGGGGCCCCCATTTTTTGGCCAATTACATTATTCCAATCAACCAAAATTTTTAGCTATTTCCCCTAGTTTTTACTTCTATTTCTAACGATTTAGCCAAGAAAAAGCCAAGTCAAAAAGTTTTTTAATACAAAAAAAAGTGATCGGAAAATTTTTTAATTTTGGGCCCAAATTTTAAAACAAAGTTCAAAATTTTTCCAATTTCAAAATTAGGGTCCAGGAATGAACAAAGAGGCCCTTTTCCCGGCACTAAACTTAAAATTTCCCTTGTTTTAATTTGTTATGTTTTTAGGCTTTACAAATAAATTCCATTTTGTTTTTTTTTTCACCCTAAAGGGAAATTTTTTTTTCCACCAAAAAAAAGAAGGTTTAATCTTATCAATTTTCTGTAATTAAATTTTATAAATATCTTTAAACCCTATTTTTTGAATGTATATTAGAGCCCCAGCTGCGTGTATTTGATGTGTAAAGGGCGTTTGTTTACTCTTGGGAAAATCGGCAAAAATTTAACATTTCCGCTACTTTGAGCTCCCGTTTCAAGCCCTTTCCAATGCTAAAACCAATCAAAAAACATCTCTTTTTTCGTTAAAATGTTTCCCTTCTATCAAAAGAGAACCCAAAAAACGCAAATACAAACTATAAAAAAATACGAAAAAAAAAACTGCCAAGTTGCTGTTTTAAGAAAAATTTATGATTTCATTTTTTTTTTTCTAAATTTTACACCGTGTGCGGGAAAGGTTGTTTTATGTGGTGCCCCCAAAACCAATAGATGTATTCTCTATTTTTTGGCCCAAAATGGTAAACCCTCACGGTTTTTCAGAGTTAGCTGAGCTCAAGAGTAGTTTTTCGGTTTTTGGGCCCCGAACGAAAGCCGTAGAAACCCACGGGGCGGGACCCGAAAGGGTTAATTTTGTTTATAGATGGGTTTTTTAAAAGAAGTAAATGCTAGGGTGTTCGGGGGAGGGGTGGGAAATTTAAAATTTTGGGGAATTTAAAAACAAAAAGGGAATTGACACAATTACTTTTTTGATGATTTTGTGTGTATGGGGGATTCTAAAGAAAAAAATTTCAAAGGGTTTGTGGATGAGTTTGGGAAATGTGTGTTTAAAGGGAGAAAGTTTAAAGTTTAACCCTAGAAAAGAGTAAGGGATGAGGGTTCAAAAGATTTTTTGTAAAAAAAAATTGGGGTATCAAATTGGGGGGGAGGAGTTGGGGAAAAAGTGTGTTTTAGATACTTGGGAGTTGACGTTTTTCGGCAGTGGATTTATGAAAGGTGAGGTTAATCATAGGGAAAATTTATGAGGGGAAAAAAAGGTTTTAGTGGGTTTGTTGGGGTTTTTTGTGGATCAAAAAAAAGTTATCCCATGGGGGGCAAATAAAGGGGGAATTTTATTTAAAGTATAGTAGTTCCAAAACTCTTATATGGGGGGGAAGCTTGGGGGTTTTGAATCAGCAGCGAGGAGGGGGGTTTTGGGGCCCGTGGGTTTTCCCCCGTTTAGGGGAAGTGCGGTTTTAAAAATTATGCCCCCCCGAAAAAATTTTAAGTGTTTTAAAAAAAGGAGAAGGGGTTGAGTTTAAAAAAAGTAAATTTGTCAGAGGGCTGAAGAGGGGGTTTTTGGGTGGGTTTTGGGCATTTAGAGAGAAGGATCAAAGTAGAAGACCCTGAAAGGGGAATTTAAAACTGTAGGGAAGGGAAGGGGGGGTAGGGTCGTCCTTTAAAAGGTTTTGGGAAAGGGAAGGGGGAAGGGGGTTTTGTGGGGAGGGGCTTGGACTTTTCCCGCAGGGCGGGCATGGACCCTGTTCGATAGGAGTGAATGGGGGACGAAAGGTTTTTTTGGGGCCTGACGATCTGTTGGGTTTTGGGGCAGGGAAAAATTTAGTGAAGGATTCAGGGAAACCCGGGGTTTTTTTTTATATAGCCGGGGCTTGAGTCCTGGAAAGGGAAATACAATGCCTGCACTCTAAAGGGGGGGTTTCGGATTTTAGCGTTTGGAGGGATAGTTGTTTATCTTTTACATATATGCTTCTAAAAATTTTGTGTTCTGAGCACCTCTGACAAAAAAAAGTGATTAGTGTGGTGAGGTGAGAGTGTTGAATTGGGTGATGAAAATATTTTCTTTTTGGGGGGTTTTTTTCTTTTTTTGGGGCACCCCGCCTTGGTGGGGGGGACGGCCCCCACTTGTTGAAAAAAAAAAAAAATATATATAAAACTGGGCCCCAAAAAAATGAATTACAACTGTATCTACAAAGAATCACAAATTTTTGTTCCTGGAACATCTCTTTAATCTTTGCATTTTCTACTGCCTTCCAAAAATATTTAGTAGGGTTTATTAAAATAAGCATTTTTTTATCACAGGAAAATGACTACCAATGATCAAAAAACTAGGGATCATGGGCCGTATATTTTAGCACTTGTTGTCTCTACAAGCTTTCTTATTTTTAAAGGTTTAAATAATTAAAACCCGATGAAAATTTTTTCCCTTTTACAAAAAGATTATTCACTGTGAAAAGGGAACAAAAACCAGTTATAACCCTCATGGGAAAAAATTTTAAACCCGAAAACAAATGGGCAATGCCCGGGGCATGGCAACCCGCCCCCTACTCAATATGTCTGAGCAATTTCTCCATTCTTTGTTGGTTACATACCTGATCAGAGATGTTGAGTGAGTGCACAACAGCACCCTTATCATTTAAATCTAACAGAAGAAAATCTCCAGAAGCAAATGCAACAACCAACATCCGAGTTGATTTATGATAATGTGCAGCAGTTACTGGTGCTCGTTTACCCCCTAAATGCTTGTCCATGAAGAGCCTAAAACGACGACTATAAAATATCTTCTCCTGTGAGTCAGAGCCTAAAAAAAAATTAAAAATATAAATATATTTGTTAAGTGTTCATTATTACAGGTACATTCCATGGGTCTGAATTACCAATATACAATACAGTCAAACCCTAAAATTTACCGGCCTCATAATTCATGAGATTCAATTACACAATAACAATAAATCACTGATTATCCGAGAGATTCATGGTAATCTATGGGTTGAAGATTCTGGAGGAACTGATCCCAAATCTTCACACTGATATCACTACATATGAACACAAATAGGTTTGGCAGACGGTGCAAGATATCTCCACTGCAAAGGAGGGCAATGATGATTACACTGAGAGCTCAACACCTTCCCTTTCAAACATGAAGATTACCAACAGACCCCTGCCTGTCTTCAAGGAAAAACTCAACAGGCTCCTCAAAACAGTTCCTGATCAACCAGACTGTGGTGAACATGTTACACTACAGACAGTGGGCACCAAAAACTTGAAGCATGGGTCTTAAATGTTAATGAAAATCAGACACATGTGCATCATCTGGGTATCTTTATTGTAGATGTTTTGCCATCCAGTGGCTTAATCAATACAAATTCAAGGACACAATTGGAAGACAGAAGAACTATATACAAAAGATGAGATATTCAATCCCTCAGCCCTGGAGTTGGTGTGAAGAGCACCATAGTCGTGAAGAATCTGGAGCACAGGCAAGAAGGCAGGTGCTTGTATACTGCCGTCAAGTGGTAAGGGATGACCTACTTCCACTGGGGAATCCCGCCCACCAGTGACAATGCCTTCATCTGCTACCCATCCCTTTCCATCTGATGCCAGCATACAAGCGCCAGCCTTCTTGCCTGTTCTCCAGAGTCTTCATAACTACAGTGCTCTTCACACCAGCTCCAAGGTTGAGGAACTGATTACTTCATCTTTTGTATATGTTCTGTTTT